ATATATATATATATGAATTGCCATAGTAGGGGGCTTTTATATAAAATGCCCCCTTGGGAGTTGGGGGTATTGAAAATCTCACCCAGGGGCCTTTTGTGCTCCTCTTTAAATTTTTTTAGTGATTCTTCCGCCTAAATAAATTATATACGCGCTCCTTATACTTTGGCCGATATGTAAATACATAGGGTTTTAGTATGCATGCAAATCTTCCTTTATATGTATATATATATTCATTTGTTTTTTAAATTAATATAAATTTTATGTAAATTTCCTTAATGTGAAATGATAATTTGTTTGTGGTGTATCAATTTTAATCATGTTTATTTAAACAAAATTAGAATTTTTAATTATGTTTTATTTTGTATTTTTAATAAATTGATATGGAGTTTTAATTGAATTTATTTATAAGCTTTAAATAATAATATTCACGAATATATATATGAATCAAATAATAATACGTTCAAATTTTTTTATTTAATAATTAAATATTTTAAAATGTATTCATATTTGTTCCATTATTTTATCAAATAAACATAAATGAACTATAATTGACTAGCTTATCGAACATTCGGTTCATTTGTAGCCCTACAAACCGGCTCGACCGGTTCTGCTTGATCAAATCGGTCCGGCAAACCGCTTATCAACCTGCTCGGCCCGCCACGATCTCTTCTCAGCCACAAGGAGCTCGTGGACAGGTTCCACAAGCCACACTCCAATTCTTTCCAACACTCTTCTTCCCTACCGGACGAAACCCTAGCTTCCACCATGGCTCTTCTCCCTCGCGCCGCTCGTTTCGCCGCCATCTCAGCCCAGAGCACCGCAGGCCTCACGGCGGCGCTTCCTTACTCTTCATCATCCCCGGCGCCATATTCCCGGCCGCCCCCTCCATCGACTTCATCGCCGACGGGGATCTCGAAGGCGGCGGAGTTCGTCATCTCGAAGGTTGACGATCTGCTCAATTGGGCACGGCGCGGTTCAATCTGGCCGATGACGTTTGGGCTCGCTTGTTGCGCGGTCGAGATGATGCATACGGGTGCCGCGCGCTACGATCTGGATCGATTCGGTGTCATCTTTAGGCCTAGCCCTCGCCAGTCTGATTGCATGATTGTGGCTGGTACTCTTACCAATAAGATGGCTCCTGCTCTGCGCAGGTGAGTTCCGATCCCTAATTTTTGTTTTTGTAGTTGTATAGGTTCTGTAGAAATCGTAATCACTTTTCGATCTTGTTGAAATGATTTATTTTTTTAGATAAATTAATCTAGTTTTCAGTTATATTATGTCGATTGCCGACCTGTTTTGAATGATGTTTGGTCGGTTTTATCATGTTTTGGAATTTATTTGCATTTTGTTGCAGTCATCTTAGATGGGATACTCGTTATTTTCTAGCGTTTTTCTATACCAGTTTACCCTCCTCTCTTTGTGGAGGGACCATGTTATGCAGGAGGGTCCTCTAAGTGTTGATTTTCATTTTAATTCGAAGTTGAGGGCTCTATGTTTTTGAGACTTCTTGTGATAAAAATTGCTGCTTTTTATCATATTTTATTTTTGGATTCATTTCAAAGTTTTCCTTAAATATATATAGCATTTTCTCCATGGGGATATGTGAAAAACTCTATGAAAGGAGCCCATTGAGGTAGTACACATACTGAACTGCAAAGTTTCTTTGTGAACGTTTTTTTCCCCCGAAAATTAAACACCACTTTCTTTTGTTGTTCTTCAAATGTTCATACATTAAATAATTTCATTTTACAGTACTTTTGAGTGGATTATATGTCCCATTGAATTGAAATAATAATACATTCTGATTAGAGTGTGCAATGTAGTTTTCTTGTATTAGCGTGCATTCTGTTAATATGATAACGCACTAAGGTAGTGGCCAATTCACGGTAGCACGACTTGTACATTTGCCTAAGGTTAATGATGATAATGGTTATGATTCCTTAATCATATATTGCACCTAAACTTTCATATTTGGACCCATAACACTTTGTCGCTTTAAATCCATGTGTGAAAAGGTGCAATTGACTTTTAAAAAGTGTTAATAGTGCTATTTTTGATATAATATTAAATATTTGAGGGCTATGTGTGTTAATATGAAAGCTTAGGTGTGGGTTATGTAAATACATAAGAATACTGTGCTATGTATGTAAATGTATTTTTTTTTTCAGGTGTAAATTTATTTTTGCCTTGTACGTGATTGCCTTTTTCTACTTTTTTGTCTGTAGAACTTTGACGAGCAAGTATGTCTAAAAAGCTGATTGCTGTTATGTTTTTCTAGAATACAAGATAGTGGTTATAAGCTGAATTATTTGTATTTATTTGGAATTAATGTTTATGGTAGCTAGTAGCTACATTTTGAATAATTTGAGTAATTTCATCATAAAGCTCTTTTTATCGTACTTTCATTTTGGCATCTACATCAAGTGAGTTGGCCATGGATTGGCTTGAGCTTTTGCAAGTGAGTATGTTCCTTTCTTTCTTTTGCTATCTTGGTTCTATTGACTCTAAGCCTATTATTTTTTACGGTTCTATCAATTCTTTTAGCTTTCAACTTATTTCAAATGAGATCGTAATAATTAAATTTATGTTTTTTTTAAAAGTATACCAGTTTAAACTTTGCTATCTTCTAAATGTTTTCCCATTTATTATAATATTTCAATTATTTCATATGAGGTAGCACCTATTAATAACCATGTCATCTACACCAAATTACTTTGAAATATATCTTTTAAGCTACTGCCTGATCAACGCAAAAAGGATGCAAATGCAATTTTAATACTTAAGTTAAAACTATCATGATTGAGAACTCATCACTCTATAATTACTTTTAATTTTGGCTAACGATCCATCATGCATATCTTAAGAACTTCATCATATCTTCCACACACCTTTTAATGATCGTGGAATTAATTTTTATGGTATTCAATTATATGCTTTTTCAAGATCAATACAAATCAATGAAGGTTTTTATATTTTTCTATATTTTTCATTAATTGTACTATCAATAAAATTACAGCTATAGTGAATTTTTATGCAAAAATGTAAATTGATTATCGGTTATCAACTTACAAATTTTTCGAAGCTTACATTTTGCTGTCCTCTCCTACAAATTCACTTTTTGTCTCATAAGATCAATTCTTTTAAAATTATGTTTAACATGTATTTCATTTTTAAATATCGGTACCAAATGTGTCTGCTTCATAATTTGGCTTCACTTTCTGTATTAACCAACTTCTCTAATATCATCCACAACTCTGGAAATTTCAATTGATGTCTCATCTAGGCCAAAAGCTTTAATTTATTGCGTCCTCTTTAGAGCTAATTTGTTTGTTGTGAATACAATTGACAAGTCATATTATTTTTGCCCTTTGGACTTTTGCTGCTTTAAATATCTCATGCCAAGTTATCTCTATGATAACACATTAAAAATACTTAGAGAATTTTAGATTTATGCCATCTATGAAAGTGTGCTTCTCTCTACTCTTTCTTGAATGTCATTGTTGATGCATTCGATCCTTGCTCATTGACTTTATGAGCCTTATGGTTGGTGAAACATGAGTTTGAGATTGAGATTGATTAGCATAGAAATGATTTTGTAAGGAGATGTGGTGATGTTGATCGTTAAGGTTTAGACTGAGAATTTAGAATATGTTTATCTAGTTCCTCATCATAAGTTGTTTTCTTATTTTTTGTTCATATTGAATGTCACTTCAAATATCTCAATTGCCAAATCATTGAAAATCTAAGGGGCTATTTAGTTTTTTGAAAAGGAATGTGGTGCAAAATTAATACAGATTGTGGTGCAAAATTAATACAATATAATTGAAATGTAGTGTATTTGAAATACTTGGAGTTGATTGGCTTGATGTAAAGTGAATGTATGCATTTATATTTCTATATTTATTTTTGAAGAAAAATGAAATCAATGTACAATGTGCTCGATGAAGGTGGCGGCGACGATAGTGGGCAACGGTTTGCGGTCGATGGAAATGGTAATGTCGGTGGATGCTATGGGCAAAGGGGGGCGGGCGGTAGTGGGGTACTGGTGATTGTCTGTTGACGGTGGCAACGACAACTGGTTGCAAATTGCAGTGTATTTGAAAATTGTCCAAATCTAATGAATTTTGAATACAATAATTTTGAACTGTTGAGTGAATTCCAAATTCATAAAAAAATTACACTACCATCTTCATCTAACCAAGCTTCATAATTTTGAAAACCCATGCACTTAGTTTATTTTACACCACTTTGTTTATTTTACACGGTTATTGCAAGGAACTAAAAAATCCCTAAGTGATTGAACTAGAAACTTGATCATTCAGGATGGGCATTTTGATTGATGGTTCTTTCACAAATTGAGGTGGAGTACAATTTTAGAGTGAAGATGAGGCCACTCCCTTTTTTTGTTTAAGAGTCATCGCACAGTATCTGTTTGTTTCTCAATGACTTATTCAAGGTCTTATTTATATGATCCAATTTTGACTTGTGTGAATGATAAGATTGAAATAGTTGGATTTAGTGCTGCTGACAATCCTAAAAAAATGCAAGTTACTCTATATCACCATCAAATTATGTCTGAGGTCAAGTGATGTTTGGATATGGTAGTAGTTTTTCTATTTTAATTTTTTAACAGTTGAAAATAGAATTGAATTTTATGATGAAAGTATGCTTATTGAGGCTTACATTTATCTTAGTACAAAACTTTAGAGTGATAAATTTATCTCTATGATAACTGCTAGTTTTAAATAAGTATTAGTACTTGCTCTACCATTTTGATTCATCTTATCATCTTTTGTCCGAATTATTTGGGGTTGATTCCTCATTCTTTCTTTTTGAGTAGATGAGGCTGTGAATTAAGTTTTGTTCAAAAGCTTTTGTACATCTTACAGCCAAGCTATCTTAGGTTTTTGTCTTTTTTTTTTGTAATTCTTTTACGTAATTCTATCAGCATATTTCTTGGCTCCCCTTCTACCTTCTATTGTCTATTGATTAAACCATTTAAATATATTACTACCGTACATTTTCATAGGTGCTAATCATATTCTTTTGTCTAATTCATTAATTTCTCACTCTATTACTTGTTGTTTTATTACACATCCATATCACGCATCCATCTACAGTTCTGATTTTTTCTATATCATAGTTATTTTACTAACAATACTTTACTACATATAGAAATGTTGGCTCACTTTAAGTTTTATAAATCCTTTTGTAAAGTTTTCATTTTATTCTCTTTCTGCATGGTATTCTTAAGAACTTTGTCGTATTTTTTTTAATCATTCGGTGTTTCGTGTCATTATTGATATCCTTTTTTTTGTTTAATTGATTCAAAAAGTTTTTGTCATATATCAAATATATATTACTTGATTTTTTTTGGGCTAATATTGGCTTAAAATTCTAAATTCCTCATCCATTATAATTGTATTTCATGCACTCATTCGTTCATTTTGATTAGTTGACCTTTATTTTCTAGGAGTTTTTTTTGTCATTCTAAACTTTTATTCAATTTAGAAGCTGTTCACCTATTAAACAATCATTTGAAAATATCACGCTCTTAGTTGCTTAGGGGCCGTTTTGGGACCACTTTTGTTTTTGTTTTCTATTTTTTATTTTTATTTTATTTTATTCTTTTATGTTTTGATTTGAAACAAAATATGTTTGACATGTTTGATTATGATATAGGTTTTTATGAAATTTAAAACACGTGAAAGTTGTTTTGAGGGTTTTCAAAAATCTTGTTTATTAGTTTTTAGGAACAAAAAAATTAAAACATTTAAAAACACACTAAAACAAACATGTATAAAGAAAAAGAGAAACAAAAACCAAAAACAAAATTGATCCAAAACAAATCCTTAACTTCGAATATTTTTTTGTCATTGTCTCCATTATTAATAAAAAAAAAGATTGATCTAGTGCTGATAGTTGATATGACTCTATTGGAATTGGAGGCTCTTCAGTGCCTATACAACTATTTATATTACTAGTTACTACATCCTCCATCTTGTTTTTAAGCACATCTTTTTTTATTTTATGGCCATCCAGTTAGTTGTCAGTTGGTATTTGATCATTTTCCATTTCTTAGCCAATCAAAATCATGTGAAAATCCTTGTTTTTCTTTATTTGCCTTTTTATTTTTTATCATAGCACAAAATTCATCTTCATAAGAGATTTTTTGGGTTTAAAACTAAAAACTTTTCATATATTAATTTGATTTTTCTATGTTTGTGTTCTAAAGATTTCTCACATAAGTTCATTGACTCATAAATTTATTGCCCCAGTATTTTCTTCATTATTGTACATTTTCTCTATTCTTTAATATTGGTGCCAATCTGCTTTTCCAATAATTCATTATGTTCATAACCTTTAAGATTTGATTTAAAAAAATTGCTATAGTTAATTGTCTCAGCTTCACTATTATTATTACTTTTTTTGTAATATATGGTAAAACTTCATGGTTCCACTCTTTTGGTTTTCTGAGACGATTTATTCTTTGCATTCTCATATTGTTGTTTTTCGAAATACCACCTTTATATTGAGTTCTGAACTTAACTTTTATCTTTAATTTTGAAATTATCAGCTTTAGTATTTATACCTTTCACTTGATCCAGGCCTTTGAATCTTCTTTGTATTTCTTGGCTACTTGTGTCTCTACTGCTCTTTTCTTTAAGTATTCAGCGTATAAATCAGCAAGACACATCCTATGTTTAATGGTCATGTTCCTGATGATTACCATCTTCTTTTGTTTATACTTCAAATTCACATTTCTTTGTTTAATGGTCATGTTTCTCATCACTAAGTTGCATGGTACAATGTATTTCTAAGGTCTCCTAGAACTTCGGACACTTTGCTAAATATAATCATTCATCCCATTTGACATTAAATTTGGTTCAATTTGTTGCTCCAAAAACTTATTTTGGAAGAATAATAACTTACCATTTTTCAGGTTTCTCATTATTTCGCAAGTCATTTTTTTTTTATATTGCTTTGAAAATTGTAACTACTATTTTTTGTCGTGTGGTTAAATTTTCTTTCAAACTTTCCTAGGAATCATTGTTTGAAAGTTTTTTTTAGAAAAAGAAAATCAGTGATTTGGCAGTTCAGGTTTCCATAATATGATCAGATTACTAATTGCAAGACTTCTAAAAAAATTATGCATTCAACTTTATGATGCGTTGCCTCAAGGCAATTCAATTGTATGAAGTTTGAATCCCCCCTTGGATGCATATTTTAACCAATGAGCAACACCAATATCTACAGCAAATACTAGAAACACTTTAGGAAAATGATGATACTTCAATGCTAGGGATTGTTCATAAAAAATTACCCGAAAAGGAAGTTTATTATTTTTATCAGTAAGGCTTCGAATAAATCAAGCCGAGCCGATGTTTGTTCGAGTTGGAGCTCGAGCTCAATTCGAGCTTTTAAGAATGTGTTCGAGCTCAAGCTCATTTATTAGAACCCTATCGAGCTCGGCTCATTTAAAGATTATCAAGCATATTAATGAACAACTCATTTAACAAATTAGACGAGCCATAATCGAGCTTTACACAAGCTTTATACAAACTTCTTATTTGAAAGAATAAACGAGAATAGTCAAATAAGGCTTATCGAGTCTAAAATATAAATATTTAAATGATATTTTATATGAACAAGTTTTAATTGAGCCTTAATCAAGCATTTATCGAGCTTCTTAGCTTGTTCACGTGCTTTCAACAATACGGTTGATGAACATAAATAATTCAAACAACAAGCTATTCAAGCTTCTTCATTTTGGACCTTAGTATTTATGAAAGTATTCTAGCTTGTTCAATTAGAGGCCGTTTGGGATCATTTTTTGTTTTGATTATCTTTTGATTTGAAACAAAACATGTTTGGTATGTTCAATTAAGATATGATTGCTTTTGAAGACACAAAAACTCCTAAAAGTTATTTTGAGTATTTTAAAAAATATGTTTATTTTTAAAAAAAAAAAAAAAAAAAAAAAAAGTTAAAAACACATTAAACAAACATGTTCTTAAAACCAAAGGGAAAAATAAAAAATAAAATTGGTCCCAAACAATCCCCTTGCTAATCAAATGATCTTGAATGAGCCTTAATCGAGCCAAGCCACAAATAGCTCGTCAAGTGCTAGTTTATTTGCAGCCTTATTTACCAATTTTTTAAATTATCTCCAGCCTGGAAGACACTAGAAGATGAGCCTCACATCTGAAACCAAGCAGCTGAAACCAAGTTACGTTGCTCTGGTATGACGCCTAATATATTAACACAACACTGTTGGCATAACTGGAGAGGTTTACCTTAATTAGCCATCGCCTGGATAGGTTCTGCAGAATTTCTCGTTGGCATAACTGGAGAGGTTTACCTTAATTAGCCAGCGCCTGGATAGGTTCTGCAGAATTTCTCTCTCCTTTTGTGTCATGCTTTCGGTTACATCTGCATGCTGGGGATTCTAGATGTAATTTATAATCCAGTCGCACATCTGGTTATTCTTGTAATGATTTTAATTAAGGCTGGTAACATTTACCCATGATTTGTGATTAAAGTGACCATTCCTTGAATGCAGAAGCTTAGTTATTTAGTTAGCTTTTGCTAAATTTCATGTAGGAATTAATTATATGTGTAGCACTCAAAACCACCGTCAATTTTGATGAGCACAACAAACCCCAATTTTCATTTTATTTCCATTGTGTTGCAGTGACTTCTTCATGCGACTCTTACCATGCTTAAATTGTTTTAACCATTTATATTCCTAGGTTAACTTTGTTTTTGTAAACATACAAATTTTGTGTGGGGTATCTAGTTTTAGGAGTTGAAAAGTTTGGGTGATATAAATGTAAAATACAAAGTTTAGGTGTTAAATATGTGAATGCATAGGAGTTGGGTGGTATGTATGTGAATGCCTCTATAACTTATATTGCTTCTTGTCACAATAGGAGTTGGGTGGTATGTATGTGAATGCCTCTATAACTTACTTTGCTTCTTGTCACTCTGATCAATTTGTTGTTGAACTTTTTAACTGATGACCGATTTTTATTAGATTAGCCTTTCAAAATTTGCATGCGGAACCACACCATATGAATTTGGTGACTTGATATATTGCATCTAATTATTTTTTAGGGGCATTTGCACACGTACCACCAAATTCCCATGTATTTACGTGGCTAACGCCTACACTTTATTTTTTTTACATTTATACCACCCAAATCTTTCATACCACATAAAAAATACCACAATTTTAACTTTAAAAAAAAAAAATGAAATACACATTTTCATGCATAGGTAAGGCGTATGTAAAAATTGAAGTTTAGATGTTGGATATGCATATAGATAAGAATCAAATGTTTAGTATGTAAATCTTCCTATTTTTTTAAAAAAAGTGGTGGCTCACATTGCCGACTGTTACTTGTATAGGGTTTATGACCAAATGCCAGAACCTCGATGGGTAATTTCTATGGGCAGCTGTGCGAACGGAGGCGGTTATTATCATTATTCGTACTCCGTTGTGCGGGGCTGTGACCGAATCGTCCCCGTCGATATCTACGTCCCTGGTTGCCCTCCCACTGCTGAAGCTCTACTGTATGGCATCCTCCAGCTGCAGAAGAAGATCAACCGCAGGAAGGATTTTCTTCATTGGTGGACTCAGTGAAAAAGCTTATTTCTTCACTGTGAGTTAATCTGGTATTTAGTGTCTTACCTGTTTGTTGCCAAAAATAATTACAGTTAACAGTTTGGGTTGCTGCATCATGTAAATTGAAGGGCAAAATTTTAATTTGCAGTATGTGATGGCCGTTCCTGCATATGTAACAGCGGATTATACTTTTATATGCATCTTTTTTTACTTCTATATGCTGCCAGCTTGTCTGCTGTTAATAAAAACATACATACTTGAAAAGATTATGTGAATTTACTATTAAATATGCCATGATTCCTCACATTTTTATTATTGCCGTTGTCATGTTTATGTAATATAGATTTTGTGTTGCAGTGAAGTTGTGACAGCAAAACTTGATCAATATACTGCTATTGAATTTAAAATTTTGATAGAAAATGATTGCTTCCATCACCTCATGGAGCAAATATTACATTCGGAATTTACACATTTAGATTGGTGGTACTGTGGTGGCATTGTTCCACAATACCACCAAATACCATCAAATCCGCACGTATCTCGTCTGCAGATAATATTTTTTTCCACCCTGTGAGACCTGTTTCATTGACTTTTTTTGTGGTATATAGATTCTTCTGTATGTTTAAATTTTGATTCATGGAGTGTCTTTTTTTATAATTTTTTTCACTTTTGTGAAAAGAAATTATGCCAGTATATTCTGAGATAAATCATATTAGGATTGAGCTTGAAAATTGTCATATTTATTTCTAAGATTAGTGCAATGCAAAATTATCATATATAACACTATTCATAAATTTAATTTTATGATTTTCAAAGCTTGATATACTTTATATAAATGCAAATATTGTTTTGCTAATAGGTAAAATTTTCTGCTTCATAAAATATTTACTCTTCAAATTTTTTTTTTTTTTGGTTCTAAGCTGTATTTTATTATATAAGAAGAAAAAGGATTGAGTAAATTATATAAGGAATTTAACCTTTTGATGATATTGAAAGATACTGTTACCGGATGGCTCTTGATCTAAAATTAACACTTGGCTGATTTGTAGTAACGATAGATGTTAAAATATGTGTAAAATGAGAGGATCAATTAATAAATGATTAGATAATATTCATTAAATATACAATGTAAATATTTTTATATATGTATGTATGTGTGTATGTGTGTATGTGTGTATGTGTGTTATGTGTATGTGTCTGTGTATATGTATAGATATATTTTAAATATGTACATATGCATACATACATAATATATATACATACATATATATATATATACTATCTATATCAAAATTCACGCATATATATACAAACATACATAGACATATATACAAACATACCTATACACGTATATACGTCTGCGTAGACACGCGCGCGCACACACACACACACACACGCGCACACACATATATATTAAAAAAATTAATAGGGAGATTTACCTAAATAATACTTTAAGCTTATGTATTTACATATTTCACACCTAAACTTTACTCTTATAAAATACTTAAAACTTAGTTAACACCTCCAAAATGAAAATTAAACAGATCCTTCGAACATACTATCCTCCCTTTTAGTCCTTACTACCACTGGCTAAAATCCCATTCGTCTTTTCATTAGTCATCTTCCTTCTTCTTGTGCTCATATTAATCTATTTACACTCTTCCCTCCGTTCCTCCGCCGCTTGCCCTACGACAAGTCGACAACCCATTAGCCTGTCGCATTCGGTTCACCATGAACCAAAGCCCACATACCACTTGGACTGCAGCCACAATGATGGCATTTTAATGGCGTTTTTGTTAGTGATTTTTGTAAAAACTTAGTAGTTTCTTAATAACATCAGACATGAAAGACACAGAGAAAACAAAGAAAACTCAAGAATTTATTTAAAGTCAGTTTGCAGAAGTATTACATCATGATACTTATAAAAGAGAATACAACATAATTTGTTTAAAGAGTTGAGATGAAAACATCAACCATACAGCAACAGAAATACATAAAACTTGAAGTTAGTTATTTCTATTTCAGCGGCTTAACATCCCTCTTGAAACTGGTAATCTTTTGTAGATAGTGTTTGTTTGGTGTTGAAATGCTTAAAACTAGCATTTGTAAGGGGTTTTATGAATAAATCAGCAAGGTGATCCATGTATTAATTTGATGCACAATAATTTAATCGGTCTTAAGGCACTCCTATATATAATGACAATTTATTTCAATGTGCTTAGTTCTTATACGGAAAACGAGATTGTTAACAAGTGCTATAGCTGATGTATTGTAACAATACAGAATGATTGGTTTGTAGGCTACTATTTTGAAGTCTCGTAACAGACGTCTCAGGCAAACTATTTTTGTGTCAATTATTTCCAGCAACCTGCATTCAGCCTCAGTGGAGGACTGAGCAATAGTGGTTTGCTTTTTAACAAGCTAGAAGATGAGTGTAGTTCCTAGAAAGATACAAAACTTAGACATCGATTTCTGATCTATGGGATCCTCAAACCTGTCTAAATTTGCATATGCAGTGAGTTTGAGACTCTCTTATTATCAGTAGACCCAAATATTTTGTGCCTTCAATATAATCTTAAAAGACATCTCAATTGCTGAAAATTTGTTTGGGATGGCTAAGGCATCGCCTGATTCACTACATAAGAAATATCTAGTATAGTGAGTGTAAGATATTGCAGCGAGCCAATATCTTTGCAATAGAATAAGGAATCCTGAAATTAATTTTAATTTGTTTGTGTGTGAGAGTTCTTCAGGCATGTGGGTTATTGACTTGTTTAGAATTCAGCATGCCCAAGGTGCTTAGAATCTGCTCAACATAGGATGTTTTGTTTAAGTATAAATCATATGTGATTGGAATTGCATTGATACCGAGAAATGTTGAGATTATGCCCAAGTTTCTCATCTTGAATTGTAAGCTATTGAGAATATCATTGATGTGTGTAGAATTATTCCTTGTGATTAAAATATAAATGTAAATTTGTGTGTTGTTATTGTGATCACATAATAAGGTAGTATCTAGAATTAGAGTAAAACTTTAGTTGGTTGAGATAGCCTATGAGAGTGTTGTAATCTTGCTTGAGTGCCTGTTTAAGATGATAGATAGCTTTCTTTACCCGATAAACATAGGTAGGATGTTGTGTTCCATGAATCCTTTAGGCTATTCTATATATACTGTCTTAGTCAACCAATCATGGAGAATTACATTCAAAACACCCAATTGAAGTAATTTCCAATTGTAGATGAGAGCTATTAAAAAAAATAAAAAATTTGAGCTATAGATACTTCGGCAACAACACTGAAAGTTTTTGTGTAGTCAATTCTTTGATGTTGTTTAAATCCCGAGCAATGAGTCTTGCTTTGCACATGACACTGATCCATCTGCATTATATTTGGTTTTAAACTTCCATTTGGAACCTAAAACATTTTGTTGTGGTGAATGTGGTATATGAACCCGTGTTCCTTGAGAATGTAGGGCTTGAAATTTAGCTGACATGGCTTGTCTTCAATGCATAAATCTTACAATAGTTGAATAGCATGTGGGATCAGGTGTGTGGAGTTGATAGTTGAGGTCAAGGATTTGTTTAGGCTTGAGATTACCTGTCTTTGTTGGTGTCGTGGCAGTGAGACATGTTCTTGCATACTAGATGGAAATGATATTTTTTGGTAGATTTGGGAAAATATTGGAGTTTGTTTTATATAATGATGAAGTGGTAAAGTTTATAGTTTGAGGAATTACATTGTTGTTGCTAGCTTTTATGGGTTGTAAGACGATGGAAGGAACTAATAGGAGTGTTGGAAGATATGATGTAGTAGATATATTGGAATTTGAATTTTCATATAAGGTTAGATTAGGAAAAACAATCTCATTGAAGAGAATATGTCTTGATGTGTTGTTTTTATGGATCTGAATGTCTAGGCACTTGAAGCCTTTTTGAGAGGAAGCAAATTCAAGAAACACATAGGTTTGGGAGAGTAAGCATATTTGTGTTTAGTGTATCATTTGAGCTAGGGAAAGCATTGATATCCAAACACTTTTAGATGTTTATAGGTTGGTAATTTTCTATATAGAAGCTCACAAGGGGATTTAGATTGAATTTTATTGGATGGTAGCATGTAAATCAAATAACAAGTTGTGAGCAAGGCGTTGAACCATAGCTGCAGAGGCAAGGAATCTCCATTTAGTAGAGTGCTAATAGATTTTATACTCCAACAATGTTTTCTTTCAGCAATTCCATCTTATTCAGGAGTTTAAGAATGTGTATTGGTTTTAAATTCTCTATTATTGCAAGAGTGCAGGAACGTAAGTTTTGACGTATTCTTCACCCCCATTAGTACGAATGGTTTTGATATGTTAGTTGAATTTATTTTCCACTAGATTTTTAAATTTAATAAACTTGTTGGTTGCTTCATTTTTGTGCTTAAAGGGATACACCAACGAAATACTGGATGATCACCCACAAATACAACATAATTTTTATAGCATTGAGTAGATTAAATTGAGGCGCTCAAACTTATGAATGTATTATTTCACGTAGATAAGAAGTACATGAGTAGGACATATTGAATGATAGCTTGCAACTTCTGTTAGTTTCATTTTTTGTGTTTAAGGAGACACACCCATAAATTTTTGGAATAATCATCCGCAAATACAACATAATGTTTGCAGGATTGAGTGGATGAAATTGAGGAAGATTCTTGTACATCTGAATGTATTATTTTAAGTGGATAATAAATAGTGGATATATTGAACGATAGAATACAGTTTTTTTGCTAGATTGCATGAGTAAGTAGTTTTATTCGAGTGTTTTAAGAATAAAATTTCCTATTGACGGTTAAGTTTTACAAGAAGGACAACCAAGCCTTCTATGCCAAAGATTTGAAGTTTGTTGAACAGTTATAAGAGCAAGTTTTGCATTTGTCCTTGGGGAGTTATTAATAGACTTGATTGGATATAATCCTTGCACACAAGGTCCTTCAAGAAGAATCCTATTTGTTTGTATATCCTTGATGAGAAAAACATTGTCACATGTAGGTGCGGGCAAATGTCACTCTTGTAATCTTGAGAGTTGGTGAGTTGATTTTGATTTGCAAATGATATGCTCAGTTGCCCTTAAGAAATTTGAATTGAGTTGGAATCAGATGATCATTTGGTAGGGGAGTAGAGGAGGTAGTTGGTGCTGAAATATTTGCAGAGGAATTTGAATGAGAACTCATGATGAAGAAGAAGAGATGTCGGTCGGTTGAAATCTATGATACCGTTTAGAAACTCGAGGATTCTAAATAACATAAAATAAGAAAGAAAAA